GGAGCCTCATAAACTTGTGATAGATAGCCGGTCCATAGCAGGACCTGTTTTGGTTTTTATGGTTGATAATCATGACTCAGTTCTGTTTGATTTGTAAATATATTTGTTTAGTTTCCTTGAGCCATGTGTGGATTTTCAGTATGCCACCAATGTAAACAAATGAAAAATGGAAGAATTGCAAGCAGCAGATCTTCATGTTTCAACAGTTCCTAGAAATATTTCTTGTTGGTATCAAATGATCCTCTACATCAGAATTCCTTACAAAGGGATTCCTTCCTGGGCCTTTATTTCTTTATTTTTCTTTTTTGATGTTTATTTATAAGATTTTAAGTTCCAAATTACATCAAATCACACAAGACAAAGAAACCAAATTCAACATCCAAGCACAGAGAAAAGAAACAAACATTAAACAACAAAAAACCACCGGTTAGTCATTCCAGATCAAAAGTACAGCAGAAATGTTCCGATGCTGCAGATAGAGTCCGAAGACAATGAAGTTAGACAGGGCAACAGAGAGTTCACCCAGGCCAGACCATTCGTCCGGGCCCAAGAAGGAGTTGGGGTCCGGCATACGTGTAGTTTCACATCAACACAAAGTGCAGTCGACTGGGTTGAAGATGATATTCAATCTCTCTCCCCAACCAATCACAGCAGATGGCCCCGCCCCTCCCTGAGCCTGGTTTTGCTGGAGGTTTCTTCCTGTTAAAAGGGAGTTTTCCTTCCCACTGTCGCCAAAGTGCTTGTTCATAGGGGGTCATATGATTGTTGGGTTTTTCTCTGTATGTATTATTGTAGGGTCGACCTTACAATATAAAGCACCTTGTGGCGACTGTTGTTGTGATTTGGTGCTGTGTAAATAACATTGAATTGAATTAAATCCCCATTAATGTGACTGAGAAAAGAGCCCCAGCGTTCGACAGATGTAAAGTGAGTGTCAGCAGGATGATAATGAACCTGTTTAATATACAAACATGCAATCATCTCACAGCAGTCTGGGCCTTTATATGCAGAATATTGTAATATCTCACTAAACGGACCAGGAGCCACCTTTCATTATGTGGAGATTTGCAGGCATGGAGGTAAAAGAGGGAACTAACTGAAAAGATGCACAAATCCATCACCAAAGCAGGCCGTAATGAACTGGAATATACAGAGTGGTCTATTCATACATTTCTGCAGATGAAATCAAAACAGAATGCAGTGATTTGCAAATCTCATAAATCCACAACAGCAGAACACAGTTTGAACATTTTAGGTGTTTTTAGAGCAAACGGACCATTTTACTAAAATCAATGGGAGCAGCATACTTGTGTGGCATCCTATTATTATTATTATTATTAAAGTTTAAAATTAGTTTTCGATTTTTTGGGGAAACGGGAATGCTGTGTCCTCTGGACTAGAGAAGGCAGGGACCACCAGCTCCACACCCTGCAGCTCTGATGGTATGGAGGTGCACTGTCGGCCTCCACATCAGGAAAAGCACCAGTATAAAAGTTTTTAGAGCTGCATCCATATTTCAGAAGACGATGCTAAACCGTGTAGTGCAGCCTTTACAGCAGCGTGGCTTAACAGTAGAAGAGTCTGGACTGTTGGATGAACCAAAAAATCCAACTACAATCCTGTGCGGGAAAAGATTGGGACAACATTCCTCTCCCACAAGTGCAGATGTTCCCAGATGTGTATGGACTGCTGTTAAAAGAAGCATGGATGCTACAGCGTGGTAAACATGACCCCGCCCATGGTTTTTGAGGTGTGTTCTCACCACTAAATTCAAATTAACCTCATTTCGTTTCTTAAAACTGTAGTTTTTATTTTTCTGGTTTACTTTTATTCCCGTCTTTAACCATGTTCTGTTTTATAGGAGAAATTCAAATGGAAGGCGGTCGCTACGCGTCACATGCTGTGTGGCGTTTTCCCACCTTTAAAGGGAAAATGTAAACAACTTTGAGTGTCTTTGTCTTCGTTAAACCAGTTTTAGCTTAAACAGGACATGTCAGATTCAAACCAGAAAAAAGAAGTGAACAAAACTTTATTTTCTTTTATTGATTTTGGTCTAATCGGCTGTTTGAAGACTGTCACACGGTGTCAGCCGCTCACAGCTCCGCTCTCCCCAGCTCCTCGTTACCAGAGGCAATTCTCTAACTGTACAATGCAATTTTCTTGGCTTTTAAAATGAAATACTGATGTTGTTTCTTTCGTCCGACACAATCTCATGCTTTGAGTGAAAAATGAGACACAACGGGGTAATTAATCCGTATTGAGGGCACTGAGGGCTGTTGCATCTTCATTGCTGGAAGCGAAGACGGGCGGCTGTTGTTGGAGCTCTGCCTGTCCTGAAAGCAGAGGATTTATATCAGCCTCCATCAGCAGGGATGGAGATGAGGCTCTGATGAATGTCAAATTGCGCTCCTCTAACTCCCCCTTAGAGGAATGCTGACAATCACTTGTACTAACAAGTCAGGTAGTATCTCTGACGAAACAGTCAGAAACCTCTCCCTTAAGGGGCGATCTGTACTTGTCCTCCATGTGAAGGATTGTGGGCTGTGATGGAAGGAAGGTGGGGGTGGGAGACAAGCCGTGTGCTATAATAAGGCAACAAATGGGGATTAATGAGGGCGAATGCGATGGGAAACGGGGAGGAAGGAAAACACAGCGGGGATAATGAGTTGGCTTGAGAAGCAGATGGGAGGCGGTTTTGCCTCTGTACACAGAACACGAGAGTACGGCGGGGGAAGGGAGCAATAATCGATACAGGCGTTCCACAGTGACGCCGTGTGTGTTTGCTCACAGGTAAGGTCAATCTGAAGGTCAGCGCTGAGGCCCTGAAGACCGAGGCGCTGTGTGGCAACGAGGTGGCCACAGTCCCCGACGTGGGTCGAACTGACACCGTGATCCGCACCCTGCTGGTGGAGGTCAGTGACATGACAAACTTAAGGTGTTCACAGGTCCTAAGCTGATAGACGTTGTCAGTATTATTTTGATCAGTTACATTGTGGCGAGAATAATGTCAGAATTTTAAAATCTTTCGGTTTCGGCCACAGTGGCCCACAGATTTCCTGTATTTCCAGTTGTTTTTGACAACGTGTTTTAGGAAAAGGTGCAGGTGGGTTGCAAAGCAGTTTGCAGAGGCCAGGCTAAAGCAGGTCAAATTTGTGATATTTGACAATTGGGTTTGTGGAAGGACGTCAGCTGAGCCATTATCTGATGTGGGCTGGCACTGAGATTAGAACTAATGATGCGCCGGCTGCTTTGATGGAGAGTGAACATCAGATATGGAAATCTGTCAAACCTGGCTCAGCCATTTTTTAAAAATATGTGTACATGTGCAGTGTATGGATGAAAACAGGGGCCACACTTCTCTGTTTTGGTCCCATGGCCACAGCTATAACACTAAGCACCTAGCCACACGGCCAGTCCGCCTTTGCAGATATCTGGGTCAGTCTAAAGACAGCACGGTGCTGTGACAGAACGCCCAACAAGTCTGTTTTTCTAGATGGTGGACAATGAGCCAATGTTGGCGCCTGTTAGGAAGTGCACACCAGGAGCTTCAAAGGTCTTTACTGTGGTGATGGGCATGGAGAGAGGGAACCTGTAGCATCGCACAGACCTTCACTTTCTTTCTGTTAGGGCAGCTGTTATCACTTCAGTTTCGGTCCACTTCTCCTTCCCGTCTGCATTTTCTGATGATCGGCTGTATCTGCAGTTTGCCGTAGTTCTATAGGAGCACTTAAGCATCTTTATTTTAGTTTGACTTCACTCTCAAAGTACATGACTGGTATGTTTATACTGGGTCTCGGTCAGCCTCTCGGTCGTCCTCTGACTGAAACAAACTGCTTTAGCAGCTTTCAGCTAATGGGAAAGTCAGTGGGATTGAGTTCAAATAATCCAGTTCACTCTAATGTCTGGAGCATGTCACCAAATCAAAGCTCACTGTTATTATGTTTAAGCTGTTTAGAAGTTTGTTTGGAGTGATGAAATCAGTCGGTCGTCTTCACTTCTGTCTCTCTTCCCAAGGCCGAAGGAACCCCACAGATGGTCAGTCACAACGTTCACCTCTGTCCCCCAGGTAAGGCCTCCTGACTCTGAGTGCTGAACTCTGAACTCCAACTCGGGCCTTTCATTCACACCTCATACATGCATCATAACACTTCCCTGCATCATGATGGCTATTCAGCATGGCGAGGAAACCACATTCGTTGTGTTTTCGTTAGAGATGGCACGATACCACTTTTTTATGTCCGATACCGATATCATACATTTGGATATCTGCCGATACAGATATAAATCCGATAGTGTTTTTTTTTTATCAATAAAAAAAAATTTTTTTGCATTGCTTGCTGCTTTTTGTAAAAGTTCATACTCAAGTTAAAAAACAAACAAACACTAAAGCTATTCTGTTACACCTGTATGCAAAAAATGCACTGCACCCAAAATATTTCATAGTTCAGCAAAACTGATCAATCTAATAAACTTAAACCTGCTCCATCCTCCCTATTCTGGTATTTTAAAGAGTAAGCAACCTAACCAATAGGGCTCTAAAACTCCCAGCAAAAAAAAAAATAGGGAACCACCCCCCACCTCATGATGCTTAATCGACGTAATCAACTTTAATTTGATGCAGTGTGAAAAGAAAAATGCACAGAAATAAATTCTTTTTCAAGAATAATTAAATATATTCAACATCTTTCTTCAACAGAACTGCACAGATGGAAAAAGTACTATAGCTTACTAGGGTGTATTAGACTTAACAGTTACTATATACAGTAATGGACTTCTATACATTTTACATCAGATTAAAACTTTGGGTGTAAGATTCAGATAATTATTTATTAAAAGCTCGACATTTTAAATGAGAATAAGAAAGCCCCCTTTTCCCTGTTCATGCCCTATCGGCCCCCCTGGCTAAACTTTGCTAGATCCGCCCCTGCACAGTTACGTCAGCTGTAGAAAAAGATCCTGGTGTAGAAAGTAATATTAAATACATTCTAACAACAGCTTATCAAGCTTAAACGTGCTGCTGTTGTTCAGCTGCTGGTTTCTTTCTGGTGCAAAGTGGGCCAAAAACAAAGAAGAGAGACGATCAGCTGATCACTGATCAGTTTCATGATTGAAGCAGAGAGAGAGAGAGGCAGTCGCTCCATATATCGGTTGTTAAGCTTAACGCTGGAACGCTTCACAAACATTCAGAGATGAACTTACACACTTGCTTGCCACAGCCGCTCTATCACGTGACGCACACTGCTCCGACGTGCTACGGTTATGAGGCGAGTTACGGCGTGTCGCAAGTTTTGTGAGGTGCTTTTTTGATATTTAATGGATCGATTACATTTTTTTTTTTTTATTTCTCTCCGATATCCGATCCAGTAATTTAGGTCACCGATACGATACTTCACATCGGTCCATCTCTAGTTTTCGTTGTGTATTTTCTCCACTGGCAGCAGATCTTTAGCTAAAGTTGAAGTCGAGCAGCCGCTGTAAGCTGCACTTTCCTCACTGTGATCAACTAAATGACCAACATGAGCCGTCTCGTGTAATCTGTAGTGCTGAGCTTGTCTCAAAATCAAAGCGCTGCGATGCCTTGTTGTGTTTCACTGTGAAACACAACAAGGCATCGTGATACAGGCATCGTGTGAAACTTTCACATAAACAAACTGCTTGTAGCTTCATGTACATAACAGTGTTTTAACAGTAAAATCATTCTGTTTGATAAACTTTAGCCAAGAAAAGAGGTTGAGCTAATTCTTTCATTAAAGAAGCTTTTCTTCCTTTTCTTTGTTGTTGTTGTTGCCAGATGGGGTCACGGAGAAGAATGTCTCTCTTCTTATGCCCGAGCTGTTTGTGGCTGGTTCTGCTAGAGCGACCTTTTCTGTGCTTGGTTAGTGATTCTGTTGTTTAGTGAACTTTAATTTGCCAGGTGAAACATCTCTGTAGCTTTTCCTCGGTTTGCTTGGGCAGGTGACCTGATGGGCAGGGCAGCGCAGAACTTGGACAAGCTCCTGGCCATGCCGTACGGTTGCGGGGAGCAGAACATGCTCCTGTTTGCTCCCAACATCTTCATCCTGAACTACCTGAAAAGCACTGGTCAGCTGACTCAGAGCATTCTGGACAAGGCCACGCACTTCCTGGAGAGCGGTAAGCACTTGGGGCTTTTTTAGGACAAGGTTTAATGTGCGTGCTCCACCCCCACGCAGAATGATCACGATGATGGTGATCAAATTAAACCTTAAAAAATGCATCGGATGAGAAGCGTAAAAATGGAAGAGTCGCTGCTATTATCTTAAAACTGTACTCCACTTTGACTTGGACTCAGCCACCGTGCTAATTTCTAAACTTTGCATATTGGCGCTGATAACGGTCATGTGTGGATTTTACCTCTGCAAAATTTGAAGCAGCTGATCTTAAAGCTAGTTTTAACTATTTATGGCAGCTGAGTAGAACGAGTGCAAAGTTAAGAGGGTGTGATCTTTAAAAACAGGGCACCAAGTCGAGCTCGGGGGCAATCCTTGCAAATCAGACCAGTCCACACAGCAAGCTGTTAAATAATAAGTCAACTTAAATGGCAATAACTGCAGATGTGTTGGTTGTGAAGCCTTGTAAGTATGCACATTTGACGGGGGGCTCCTGTAACATAGCCGGACTGTAGATATAAATTGCACTTGAAATAAACTTGGCACCAAAACTAGAGTTTTGTACGGTAAATAAATCCAAATGTACTTGATTCACATTTTCTGTGTTGTGAAAAAATAATCCTCTTTTTTTCCTTTTTATTGATTTCTTGTGTGTTGGTGCTGCAGGATATCAGAGGGAGCTCACGTACAAGCATGACGATGGTTCCTACAGTGCATTTGGGAAGGCAGACTCCTCTGGAAACACCTGGTCAGTAACGTGAATGAGAGCATGAAGATATAAGAAGTAGATGGTGATACAGCAGCTGACTCAACAACAGGCTGCTAATAGTTCATTGGGATGATGGCCTTTGAATTTCAGAGTTATTCTCCTACAGTGTCGGCTGGTGAGGGGAAAAGCTGACACAGCAGAGTATTTTACATGACAATATTGTATGTTTAGTCATGCAATATTGGTTTATGAAATGCATTAAAATACTACTGCAAGAGGGCTCATCTCACCAGATTGCATGTAATTGCCAACTTGACCTCATTCAAGTCTGACAGAAGATATTTACCAAGTTCAACTTTGAGGACATAATTTACAGTGAGAAAAAAGATGATGTCACTGCAGTATTCAACATATGAAATCATGTAATGTAATGTAATATTGCATCATGTTGAGGGCTGCAACTCTTATTTCGGTAGTCGATGATCTGCAAATTTTTCTTTGATTAGTCAACGATTATTTAAATAACTCTGATCTCTGCTGCCTTCAGCCAACAAGATTATGTATCGGAATTTCAGGAGCGGGACCACACCTCCAAACATGCTCCTTCCGGTTCTCATCCATATAAGTTCCCCCAGTTCTGCAAGCTGTTCATTCTCGTTTACATGCAAACAGGGTCCATTCCATCCGCTACATCCTCTTGTCCATCAGCACATCAGATGAACAACTACTCAAGCTCTGCGTTCATGGCTTTTCCTCCAGCAATCAAAGGAGTACACCGAACGTCACGGCGGCGCTTCCGAGAGACCGCATGCTGATGACCTTCTAGCAGTTTTCAATACGTCGATCCATCCAGTCATCTCCGCTAAATCCAGTTATGAAGTGACTTCGGATACCAAACTCGCAGCTCCCCTCACGAACCCAGAAGCCACGCCGTACCCATGCTTCCAAACAAATCGCAGCTCCAACAGCAAAAGCTACAGCGTACTTCACCGCAAGCACCAGGTAGCAGGGACGACTCAGTTCTGTGCTCCTTCCTCCTAACACCATTTAATGCAAGCTGGAAATCTGTCGCTAGCTACGTGCTCTACTGTTTCTCCATCACCGTGATGTTTTCTATCCCTCCTTTCGCTAAATGCTCAAGCAAGTTGGCACTGGGATGCCCGGTTCTTCCCTATCCACCATTTGCAAACACAGCAGCAAGCCAGTTCTCCATTTCTCCGTGGCAAATGCAGCACCGAGTTGCCAGGTTCCCAGCGACTCAACCCTCCTTCACAAATTCTGCAGCTAACCTCGGCACCGGGTTGCCAGGTTCCGTCATTCTCATTCGCAAAAGCAGCAGCAAGCTTTTCGACCATCAGATTGCCAGTTTCTCAGCATAGCTTAAAAAAAAAAAGTACTCCATCATGCAAATGCAGCATGCTTTGGCACAGAGTTGCCAGGTTCTCAGCCACTCATTCCTCCTCTGCTAAACTCTGCAGCAAATGTAGGCACCGGGTTGCCAGGCTCCCAGCCTCTCATCCGTCCTTGGCTAAACTCTGCAGCATATGTCCACTCATCCCTCCTCTGCTAAACTCTGCAGCAAGCATCGGCACAGAGTTGCCAGGTTCCCAGCCTCTCATCCCTGCTTCACAAAATTCTGCAGCAAACCTAGGCACCGAGTTGCCAGGTTCCTTTATCCCTCATTCGCAAAAGCAGCAGCAAGCTTTTTGACCATGGGGTTGCCAGTTTATCCGCATCGACAAAATAAATAAATAAAATTAAAAGGCACCGGGTTGCCAGGTTTTCCTTCACCCCCCCATAGCTTCCCTACTACCGAAATGCCAGTTTCTCCGCATCTATCATGGCAAAAAGCAGCAACGAATCCTTCTAGCCCAGGATACCAAGTTCTCATCTCTCATTTGCAAAATGGCCAGTTTCTCTGCATGAGAAAAAAAAAGGCACTGGGTTGCCAGGTTTTCCGCAGCCGCAAACCTTCTACCAATGCGTTGGCAGTTTCCGTTCCTCCATCCATCCTTCACGAATTTCAGCAACATGCTTTCGTGGCACCAGGATGCTAGGTCCTTCCCTCATATCCAATCGCAGCAGCAAGCTTTTCTATGAACAAGTCGCCAGTTTCCCTTTCCCGTATCCTATATTGGCAAAATGCAGCAGCATGCTTTTGGTACCGGGATGCCAGGTTCTCTTCCTCTATCCCTCCTATGCAAGTACAGTAGCAAGCTTTGGCACCGGGATGCCAGCTTCTCTTCCTATATCCCATCTTTGCAAATGCAATAGCAAAGAGATGCCTGGTTCTTCTTTATCCCTCATTCGCAAACTCAGCAGCAAGCTTTCTAATATACTGTAGAGTTGCCAGTTTCTCTGCATTTATCACAACAAAGCAGCAGTGAATCCTTCTAACGCTGGGATGCCAGCTTCTCCGCATCTAGCCCTCATATGCTAAGCGGCAGATGTTTCTTTCGGCACCAAAACGCCAGTATGCCTTGCCTTGAGGCAACTTTTGTTGTGATTTGGCGCTATATAGATAAAATTGAATTGAATCGAATTGAATTTGCAAATGCAGAAAACACTCTTTGCACGGAGATGCCAGGTTCCGTTCCCTAAGCAGCTTACCCTTCCGTTACTGGATTGGCAGGTTCCGCCATCAATCACTTGCAAAAAACCCCCAAAACATTCCTTTCATCAGGAAAAAAAAAGAGAGAAAAAAAAACACCCAGCACGCCCCTGCGGGCGGTTTATCCTTCAAGCTCGGGTCCTCTACCAGAGGCCTGGGAGCTTGAGGGTTCTGCGCAGTATCTTAGCTGTTCCCAGGACTGCGCTCTTCTGGACA